CTCCACGACCTCTTGCTCCCCACCATGGCCGCAACCACGGCCGGGAGCGAGAGGTCTCCCCCTATCTCTAAACGGAGTGCCCGCCTTTCCCTGGCAAAGGCCGGGCACTCCTCCAACACGTGCTGCGCGGAGTCAACCTCCGCGCCGCACTGGTGGCACTCTGCCGTCGCCTCGGCTCCAACCCTCTGCAGGTACCCCCCGAAGCATCCATGCCCGGTGAGCACCTGCGTGAGCCGGTAGGATAGCCTGCCGTGCCGACGGTCCAGCCATCCATCAAGGACGGGCAGGACCGCGCCCACGGCTCGCTGCCGGGCGGCGCCGGTGTCATACAGCTGGCGCCGCCACTTTTCGCGAGCGAGCCGCCGGCACTGGCGCTTCATCACCCCAGCTTCAATACCTAACCCAACCTACCATATCAGCTTCCCAGCTACCCAGTGACTGCGTCCCAGTCTTCCTTTACCGGCCTCTGGGTTTCCCGCTAATTCTTCAAATGTTTAGATTATTATAATCCCCCCAATTGTGAGAACCAGTGCAATAATCCAGGTAAGTTTTATTTATTTATATTTGTATTAACTCTACATATCCTTTGTTTGTGTGTAGCACATTTATTTAATAGAATCTATCACCTTTTTGGAAATATTATTTTAGATATATTTTTACAAAAATTTATTTTTGTATGCTCGTATGTAATGATAATTCTGACTTTTTGGTTCTAAATACACAGATTGTGATTAGTGACAACATGAAATTACAAGTTTTTCAAGAAAGCAATGAGAAGAAATTATCTAGGTGGTCTCAGCTTGAAAATTTATTAAGTAGATATAAAGTATTACAGAGTCCACATTTTACCACTGACATGTCTTATTGAGAAACATCTTGAGAAATCTCTAGAAGAACTTAATAAGGCACATATTATTGCAGAATCAATTGAATTTGCTTATACCAAAAATCTTAAAATAGTAATAGATCAAATGAGACAAATAAAAAATTTAAAAAATTGATATAGCTCTTGCACCATTATTATGGCTTTTGCGTTATATAGCCAATTGTCGGCTGCATACAATTGCTTATCCAATTGTGTTGTAGATGATTCCATTAAAATTTATATATCTGATTATGGGTCCCATTCTGTTGCTAAAACATTAAATTGCAATATATGTCGATTATTAATTGTGGAGGATAAAGGTAAAACCGTAGGCGATGTATATTTTGATCACTTACAAACAGGGGGCCTTTGTGTTCTCACTGAAGAAGTGATAATCTCATTTATTCATATGTATGCAATAATGGAAGCCATAGTAAATGACGGCAATTTGGAATCTTAATTTTTGCAATCTGAAAATCATAAACATATTTTATGTAAATTAACATATATTAGTATTCAATCAGATATACATTATTTAGCATTTTCAGATATATACATTTGTGATCCACATTACCACAGTATTTTGTTTAAATTGTCAATTTTTTGAATATTTTATTAAATGATAATGTGAAAACTGTAAATAATAAACTGTTCTCCAACACGAGTTCATAATTAACTGCATAATTGTTCCTTTCAATAGCGAATTATCCTAACCCCTTTTCCACATGTCCCTTAACCTGCTTGGCATCGTACAAATAATTTTGTCCATTTCATGTTTCTATTAACTTATACATACCTTTATCAATTTTTAAATGCTTCAATTTCGTTCAAAGATGGTTTTATCATGCTTCACACTTATATTATCTTGAAACCACTGTAAATATTTCAAATATAATGCATCACAACACCAAACTATTCAGAGCGTCCACAAAATATTGTACATACCACACTTATAAATATTAGTATCCATCTATATTACTTCTACATACTATAGTTATGATAATTATGTATTCCTTATGCATAATTAATCAAACATACTGTGTATTAGTATGGTTTTATGTAAAAAATAACGTTAATTATAACACTGAGCACAAAACTCTATTCTTGAAAATAGGACCCCCGAATCCGCTATGAGCGGTGTTGCCACGTTGTTTGAAAATGCAATGAAAATGCCACCAATATTCATTGCACCAATAAAAATATTAGTAAAACAGTATTATATACACTGCGCTTTCCGTGATGAGATATGCGAGTTAAACATGACACTGTATGTGTTGTTCCGGCCTGGGCGTGCTGGCCGACAGAGTAGGGTGCGCGCGCGTGGTGAGAAATACAGGGAGCAAGGGGCGTGGCTTTTGTACAGATAGCGGTGGCGCGGGAAACGAATGCTACTCTATACGCACGTGACCATACCGCCACAGCTTTTTCTGTGTCGGTACTACAGTTTTAGGTGGTTTTAGGTGGGCCACCAACTCCCGTAAGGTGAAAGGTCTATCCTTATACCTCGTCTGTGCTTGGATGTTTCATAGAGAGTAAAACAGAATCAAACAGAATAAAAATTTTATTGGTAGAAATTACAAGATAATGGAAAGTGAACGTATTTGTTAATGAAATTAGAATTTTACGATTCTGTGATTTAATAGTAAATCCTACGCAACAAAAATAATTTGACATTTACTCAATTCTGCCTGTCGAATTAATTGGTAAAATGTTCTTAGCTAATTATAACAATAAACAATATCTATTAAAATAATATTTTTTCATAATGACTTCATATACTGCTATGTAATAAAAAATATTGCAAATTAAAATTTATTTTAATTTTGATATAAGTGTTGTCATATTACTAAAGCAAACAAAGAAGTATTGAACGTTTGTGTAGTAATTTTTTAATGTTTTTGACTTAATGATTATTGTCTGAATTTTAAGTACAATATACAGTAATTCAGAAAAGTATCTACCTATCTCATATGTACAACATATTTCACATATTTTAGTCAATGTTAAACATACTAATTATAGGTTGCATTAGTATAAACCTTGATAGATGTAATTTAAATTAAAATACATTTAAGTAAAAAATTATACTACATAGTTTATTTAAAAATTATTATTATTTATGGATGAAGTAAAAGAACATATCTGACCAAAGTTAATATTTACTTTACACAAGCATATTTGCTTGTCCATCTGTTATTCATAGGTTGAGTTAGTTTTTTTTGTAAAGTTTATTGTGAGTTATGTGCATTTTTTTAGCCATTTGCAGAAAGAATATGTTTCAAAATTAAATATCTATAATTTCTCTGTTGTACATCCTAATCTCAACTATCTTAATCAAAGATTACATTAATACAAATCATAATTATTAATTTTGAACTTCATATTAATTATATAAAACATGTTATACATATGAAATGGATGGATATTTATGTAAGTAAGTATATATTTATCACATAATATTTTTGCAATGCACTTTTGTTTTATTAATAATTGCTTGCCAGCAATTACATATAGATGCTCACATGGTTGCATTATATGTATGTACATGTTCTTTTTATTGTAGTTGTCCTGTGTAGAAATTATAAACATTACTGGAAATCAATGAAGATGCTTCAATTATTGGACAACGTGTACAAGAGCGTAAAGAAATAAATAATATCTGAAACACGCAAAGGAAACATGTGCAGATGTTACGAAGTACTCTTAGGTGGATGACAGGATTCTCTAGAATGGATACAAATATAGCAACAGAAGAATTAAGTAACAATCAAAATAATGTTCGAGAATCAGAAAATTCGGATTCAATAGAGGTCATTATAATAGTGTCTTTGAGAAGTTGTTATTTGTGACAAAGAAGATAATACTATAATTTTATGTTTAGGTTGACAACTCACGTACAGTGCTATTGAAGATAGCAACACTGTATGCTGAACGGCTTATGAATGACATTTGTCTTGTTGTTGATGGTATAGAATATCCAGCGCATCGTCTTATACTCTGTGCTTCTAGTGATGTTTTCCAAGTAAGCAAATTTAATCTTGTATCAGTACATTTTCCAAAGTATTTCTTTATAACAAGTTATAAATGAAAAATATATATAAATAATTATAAATGAAATTATACAAGTATGTAAGTAACTCATATTTACTTTGACTTGAAATTACATTATAGTAAAAATTATTGGTAAGAAATCCTTAGTTGTCTTCTATTTTACATGTATTCTAAACACTCAGTACTTTGTGGAATTATGGATAAATTGATGTACTAACATTTATTTTAATATTTTGATACTCTGAGTCATTGTTCTATGACTATTAATAACTGATAATATATTTTTTAATTCAGAATTGGTAATTTTTAAAAGATTATTTCGTATACTGTTATTAAAGAGTTTTGTTTGTCTGCTTCACAACTTTATTTCAATTCATCTTTTGTCACTAATATTATGTGTAAAAGCTACTCTATTAACTTTGGTTTTTATGTAAAACATATTTGAATTTCCTGAAGAACTAATGCACAATATTATAGATAGTAGAATAGTTTATATTTTATAGTGTGTAATTTTATTTCTTTTAAGTTCATATTGCAGTTAAACTTACTTTTACCAAAGAAATCTCATTATGAAAAACAGAATTGTTTCATTTTTTAAAATAAATATATCATTCTGCACATTTACATTATTGCTTTTAGTAAACAAATCATGACTTTGTGTTAACAAAAGATTTTTTGAGTAGGAACATAAAAAGTAAATCCAACTGTACAAGCAATCATTCGAAGGAAATTTTATGCCCTAATTCAGATGTTATTCTGTAATGTCCTATTAGATTTATGATTGTTGTGTTTATAAAATATAATTTCGAAAGTAATAGGTGGGGTATTCCACACGAAATTGAACACTTTTTGGAGTAACATTTCGGATTTTCTTGACACTCAGATACGTTGGAGTCTTTAATGATATACTTATAAATGTATCTCGGAGGATTTTAACAAATTTTTTAAACTGTTGATTCTACAGTTGCATGAAATATAGTGTCAACCTTTCTTCAATAAATCATGACTGTTGAACTAACAAATCGATCAAAATGAGTTTTGTGGGTGCTTATAGTGGAGACACAAGAGTATCTAATAAAAAATATTTCAGTTAAAAAAAATAGTTTTTAACCATTTATTTTGCAATTGTTTTTAAGGAATATATATTATTATAATAGCAGGACCCTACTTAAAGATTTGAAAAAAAAATAGGATGCAGCCCTATTTGTCCTCTTTATGAACAAATTTTCAAAAATATGGAGACTTAAAATTGGTCATATGAAAATTAATTGAAGTTAATGCTGCGTTGAATTACGCTAGATACGTTTATGTACCAAAGACTGCAACATATCACAGTGTCAACAGAATCCAAAATGTTACTCCGAAAAGTGTCAGATTTTACGTGGTATGCTCCAGGTATTTAATGATTTATAGTTTTAGATTATCAGATTGAATTACATAATATGGAAGAATAATATCCTGGCATCTAGAATACATTTTAACAATTTCATCATAAATAAATGTGCTGTTAACATTTTATTGATAGTTTTCTTCCAAATAGGTAATGTTGATGAGTCCACAATGGAGCGAATCTCAAGAAAGTAGAGTAACTCTTCAAGAAACACCACAATGTGTACCTATATTTAGTGAATTTTTGCGTTATTTTTATACTGGTCAAATAAGAATTAATTATGGAGTTGTTCTACCAATATTGTCTTTAGCAGATAAGTATAATGTCAAAGATTTAATATCATTGTGCCTCGACTATATGCAAAGTCACATTGCACTAGCTGCTATACATGGCACTTTATTATCATGGCTACAATATACTTCAAATTGTGGTCATCACAATATTACTCAGGCTTGTCAAAATTTTATCAAATGGAATTTAGAATTGGTAGCTAAAACTGCAGATTTTGGAAATTTCGACTTAGATATTGTAGTATCATTATTACATCAAAGTAGTTTAGTTGTGAAGGATGAGATGACATTGTACAAGTGCCTGGAATCTTGGTTGGATCATCAGGCAAATCGTTTGAAAACACAGTTGTCACAGGATGAACTAGAAGCTACATTGAAACAGTTGGTGATAGCTGTGATGTCGCCCGTTAGGTTTCCAATGATGTCTCCTAGACAATTAGCAGAACTGTTATTATTTCCATTGACAAAAAAGTATAAAGAATTCTTTGTAGAACGTATGTCTATTGGAATGTCATTTCATTCAGGTCAGCTAGATAGAGTCAAAGAAGTAAGTTTAAACGAGGAAGATGGTGCATTACTTTTTGAACCAAGATTATATACTGTGGATACTTGTAGTTCACTGCTTACAATAGAAAATTTTCATAGTTTACCTTCTTATCACACGAGAACTCTTGTGTTTTCAAGTCATTCATGCTTAGCTGAATATGCCGGTGATCGTGCGTGTGAATGGGTTGTGGACATATATCCGAAGGGAGTTTGGTTTAAAAAATTTTTTTTAATCGTATGGCAAGGGACGGTAGAAATGCCAGAATATGTGAAACGATCGGTTAGATTGTCACTTACATGTAAAGAACCTCCGATAAATGGCGATACTGATATGCGAGTAAAAATAGGTGTCCTAATTTATGGACTACAAGATGGTGTTGAGCATATTACAAGAGTAACTGAAGTCATACATAGATTTAGTAAAAAAGAACGAGTTCTTAATTTGGACGACCTTTTACCATTTGAGGAACTCAATCCACAACAGAGTTCTATACCAGAAACTATGTCTCCTTTTTTGGTAGGCCCAAACAAAGATATGCTGAAATTGCACATTGTTATATCCCCAGCCAATTAGAATTCGATTCCTTTTGTTAATTTTCTCGTTCAGTTTTAGTTTACTTTTCAAGCTATTTTATTTAACTTATCGAAATTAGAATTATACCAAAAGAGATATCAGTGTGCATTCTTAGAACATCGGACCTGTATATTACATATCTGTCTAATACTATTATGTACATTGTATAAAAGTATAAACAATTTAACTTTGCTTCTTAGTTTGTAAAGTATATATGGATAAACTTTTGTATCTGGAATGTTACATATAGCAAAATGATGTAATAAAATATTGGAAGATGTATAATGTATTTTGACCATGTATTAATCAATCTATCTTAAGAAAATACTAAAAAATAACTTGAGTTTAAATAGATATTCGTATGAGATTGTACAAATACAATATTTTATTATACTAGCATTGTTATAAGAGAATTAAAGTTTAAACATTCTTAATTACTGTAATGTATCGAACATTATTATACTATATTAGTGTATTTCCGGTCTACTAGTCTATATCTATTTCCGGTATTTTAGTTATTTCAATTGTAAATCATACAGTTAACATGTATGTACTTAATATATAAATCTGTAATTGTACTGTCTCCAAATTTTACTTGGCAAGGCCAATTCTTTTAGTTTAACATATAAGAAAAATACATACTATGAGGCCAATAGTTTTAAAGATAAAATTATAATAGTTGGTACTTTTTGTCCTACTGTCTTAAATTCTTAAACAATTTCAGATAAAAAAAGTGATAACTTAAACCCTTCCACCTTTCCAAATTTCACATGGATTACACCATATCCCAGTTTCATGAAAATACTTGACATTCAGTCTAAAGCGTGATTTGTTTGTCATGAAATGTACTATATTATATTTTCATAATGATTTCATGTAACATTTGTAAAACTCAGGTATAAAAAATATTCCATACATATATTAATATATACGAAAATTAAATTAAATTATTCAGTCTGAATACAGAAAATTTTAGTTTGGTAGATTTGTATGACTAAATTAACAGACAAATTTAAGTCTCATTTTCTATTTTAACAAGAATAACATGTACTTTACTAAACATAAATATATATACTCTTGTATGTTATATATAATAAAATGAACAAGATTATGTTCCATATGTATATTGTAACAGTAATAATGCATAGTTTATTAAATGTGAGTAATTGATACATAACATATATTTCATATGAAACAAACTACATAGTGCACAAAAAAGGAATAATGCCACTTACAAAATAATCATTTTTATTCCTTTCGTCTTTTCTCATATTCATTTTAAATTTTTTGGACTTTCTGTCCTCATAAGAAATTTATGGTATGGATTGTTGTTTCTCATATATTGTGTGAATCAACAAGTTGACATAAAAAGGTTGTGTATCAAGATCAATAAGGGATAACATACTGGTACACTTAATAGTTTTTATTTTCTTCTAAGATATGTAAACAACAGTTTTAATTTCTCTTAAAGCTTTCGTTTTAGAGCTTTTTCCTCTTTAAATTAAATTTAAGGAAAGGCCTTTCTCTAATAAATTTTCTTCATGGAGTCTGGTATAATCAGACATAAGTCCAGCAAGGTTTCACTGATCTGCCTAAAGATACTATAAATAATTATAATTTTGTTTAATATTGTGGCTTATTGTTTATGTTAATTCCACCAATATAAACTATCATGAAAAACCAAGGAAAACAGATATTTAATTTTGTGATTTAATGTTAAAAAATCATTTATGTGAATACATAAATATCGATTGTAGCTGCATTTAGATGAAATGTAATCGATTTAATCTTTAATAAAGTAAGTTGCGCAGTTTTACTGCATTTGTGAGATGAAGCTACCGTCAGAATATTAGCAGTTCCCCTCAATTTCTGACATCACATCATGACACCAGGCCTGTTATTGCTTGTTATATTTCTACTGCTAGTGTACTGTCAGTACTGCTGTCACGGCCTGTTAACTCCCATTAGAATAGTATGGTCAGTCATAAGCTACCGGCCCTTATCACCAATGGTGCTAAAGTCGTATTTTTCGACACATGTACTTCTATGTAGTGCTATGTAGTCGGTGGATAAAACACGTTTTGGCGGTGGAGGGAGTTCAAGCCAGGTATGTATTTTTTCCACAAGAAAGGACGACTTCATTTTAAAGGCTAAGAATAAGTATTATGTTTTATTTTTATATAACTTACATGCAAATGTATTTTTCCCTTCAATATTACTTATTTTTTAGATGAAATGGTGCAACCAGAAAATGGCACATCTCTGACTGCAGAAAGCCAGTTTGAGGAACTGGGTAAGTTTGTTTATATTATAGAATAAATCAATTTTTATGAAATTTATGTGTGCACATACTTATAGTCATTTTCACTTATTTTTCAGATATAAAGCAGTCATTTGATGTTAGCCATATGCATCCAGGGTCATCTATGACTGTAGAAAGCCAGTTTGAGGAACTGGGTAAGTTTGTTTATATTATAGAATACATCAATTTTTGTGAAACTTATGTGTGCACATACTTATAGTCATTTTCACTTATTTTTCAGATATAAAGCAGTCATTTGATGAATGTGGCGTGCATGATTGTGTGTGCAAGATGGCTAGGGACTATTATGTAAAAAAGTATAGAAGAATGTAGTATGCATGTATCGTATGTATTGTTTGTGTTATACAGTATACAGTCCCTTATTTCCTAAATTATTTGAAACACGAGAGTTTTCTGGTATTTCAAATACTTTAGGAAATAACTGACTGTATACTGTATGTATGTAATGTAAAATTTTTAGCATGACAGTGAGTGACTGGCGACTACTATGTGGGATTGTGTATGGTAAAGTTTTTAATTATAATAAATTTGTTATTAGTTCGAAATTTTAAATCTGTATTATATTTATTACATATTCTCTCTATATCATGTTAAATTTTGAGCGTGACAGTGAGTGACTGGCGGTTACTGTATGGGATCGTGTGTGATAAATTTGTTATAATAAATATAATGTTAGTTGTTTGCAGTTTTAAACATGTTTATTAAATTTATTACATAATATACGTATATTATGTAATAAATTTAATAAACACATTTAAAATTGCGAACACCTAATATCAAATTTATTACAACTCAAATTTATCATACACGATCTCATACAGTAACCGCCAGTCATTCACTGTCTCGTCTATTATAAATCGTTCCGAAATTCAAACGCGTCCCGGATATCCGGCACTCGTTTTAGTACCGGCCCTTATCACTAATGGCGCTGCAAATCGACCAAGAAAAACCTCTGAGTTGCACACCCGTGGTCCGTTCGCTATAAAGTGGACGTATTAGAAAGCTAATCCCGACGGATCTATATTAGTTTTTCTTCGCGTACAAAAAAGTTATTGCGTTTAATATTGTTTTTATGGATATGTATATGTATTATTATGTACATTTGAGTAAATTATTTTATTATTCCATTGTTACTACACAGTTTAACAGTGACAACGAATGCATGCATATTTTCAAATATCGGACTAATAGTATATTTTTATTCTATATTATTACATATAAGTGAGTAATACGTATCAAAAACGTAATCGAAACACAGATTTTTATTACACCACAAACATCGCATAAAAGATATTTCGTTATATTGACATTTGTAATAATTATGGATGTTGCAAGGAAATCAATATTATTGACATTATGGAACATATAACGAAATATCACTGTAACACTTAAAAAAGTTTTAAAGTTCCATTTATATCATTGTCCTGTGAAAATGTTCATACTTCCAGCAGCATTCATATTCCAATCAAAGAATTTACAGAATAAGGAAAAGGAATCTAAAGTAATTTTCAGTAGTTCCATACATCTTTATCTCGAATAATTTTCTAAAACATTCAAAGTACTAGACATTTTTACACTTTGAATCTCATATCGATTTCTAAAATAATCCTAGTTCGATGTAATATAGAACGTGGTTTTATGAGATAGATTCGAAGTTCGCAGCCATTAGCTCGATATTGTCATCAGTTTACAGTACTTTACCGATGATAATACCGATTGCCCAGGCCTCACCACGAGGAGGTTGCTGCGAGTAGAGGCCCAAGGCAGGTAAATGGAATCACAAGTTTACATCTACCCACCTTTCACAATAAACCTTATAAATAACTTAAATCTTAACTATGTAATACTATCTGTACTAAAATCCCTCGGCGGATGACTTCTTTCTTGAGCCCAAACCTATAAAAAATTAAGTTCCCTCGTCGGTTGTCTTCGTTCTTCAGCTTATAACTAATATTATCTTAATATTCTAATTAATACGAATTAATGCTATTAATACAAAATAACTTAA